TCCTACAGATTTCAAAGAAGTAGGGGAGAATACTTATTGGTTTATTTGCTTGCAAAGTTTTCAGTGTTCTGTTTGCAAATCTTTGGTTTGGGATTATACATGACACTTTTCAGTGTAGTAGAGGGATTGAGAAGTGTGATGTGGCGAGGCCCTGAGAGGTACCGGGAACTTCAGACACGGCAGGACACAAGACCACTTCTAGGGCTGGAGGTGTGCACACGACCTCTCTGTTAGAGATGTAGTGTTGTGCGTTCTGGGAGATCACAGGTGAAGGGGCAAAGTGAAGGGCTTGTTCAGGCTCCAGTTCTGCCAGAGGAAGGTGTTTGGGGGAGAGACCAGGAAACACCATTGACTGAATGAGAGTAGGAAAACAGGCAGAGAGGGTGGAGGGATGATCTGGACACCGCGTTACAGGATCCAGCTTTGCTGGGCAGACAGCAGGAAGCCAGTGAAGGAACTGAGCTGGAGAGTGACCCTCACTCTGAGGAACTTGAAGAGAAACGTTCCTGGCTCCAAGGTACAAGATGCATTTGAGGGAGATCCCGGGTGGGATGACTGGGAGGGTAGAGACTGACACAGGTGAGTTGCCAGCAAAGATCCACTATGCGGGGTGGGGAGGGACAGAGGGGGGTGAAAGGAGACTGTGTGTTAGAGAAACAGTGGTCCCCACCCATCCCAGAGAGGGCTGTCCCTCTGTAAGCTCTGTGCTCCCGGTACTCAGGCAGGGAGGTGCTGAGACGCAGTTCTAGAGAAGCAGCGCTGTCTGCCTGGAGGGGGGCACTTCTGAGCACCTGCTGTGCTCCCCGATGTGGGGTGAGGTGAGGAGGGCGCGCGGTGTGCTCTGCCGCTTTCTGAAATAAACTGGACTGTGTGAACCAGGCAAACTAGAGCAGCAGTGGCCACCGCTTGGGAGGGGGGACAGTGACTGGCCCTCACTCTGGCATGGAGAGTCCCTTCAGCTCCACACTCCCCTTCAGCACCTCTCAATGAGCAGGTGGCTCCGACTGTTAGTAGCCAAGAAGTTCAAAACTCCTCTGTGTTGATTCTAAAAAGAAAGCCAAAGTCTTTCTGTAAAGGCTAAGCCCTTTTGTTCCTCTCTCTCTTTCAACATTTGCCTTTATGTTGTAGAGAAGAGGTGGGCGGGGGACTTTAGACGCCTAGAGTGACAGATAGGTCTGCGAAGTGTACTGAGCAGCCCTGTCACACGCTGGGGAGAGGAGGTGACTGGGGACAGCTGCTGTTGTAGCCACCTGTGCCACAGAATAGACCCCGGGCTTCCAGGGAGTGGATCAGTAAGCCTGAGCCAAGATAGAGACCCACAGTCCCAGGACCCAGAAGAGCCTCAGCCAGGGAGCGCACTGCTCTCCGGGAACAGAAGTGGGACTTCTGGAAGCTCCCATACAGGGGCAGGAGTCAGCTTCCCTGTTTCTGCTACCCCTCAGAGGAGGCTGGCTTCCCCATCTTTGCTACGGGCAATGCCTCTGTGAAGGGGAAACCTCATTCTCCTGTCATGCCCTAACAGGATGCCTTCTTTTCAGGGATGGAGAACCTGGTTTAGAAGTGGCTTGTGTCAGCCTGTATTTTTGTGTCAGGTCTCCACTCTGCAGTGTGAGCCTGTCCCTGTGTGTGGGACTGCAGAAAATGTGCAAGATGAGCTTACAGAGTGAAGAAAATGTGCTCTGTCCTCCTGCCTTGGAAAATGTAGCTTCATTCATCCAGAAGACTAAATTTAGAATTGTCAGGCTCCTGAAGGCTTTGTGAACTCTGCACCATGTGGAGGAGCTTCCCCCCACAGGCCTGCCTGTATTCTTACTTCCCTCTGTCCACACTGTGTGCATCCTGTCCTCCAGCCTAGACACACAAGGTCTGTCTACAATCCCGCCTCTGCTCCTGGCAGCCTTGTGGGCCTAGGGGCCTGTGCACCAGGAGGAGAACACACCCTGAGAAGAGGCTTCCAGAGTTTCCCTGGAGAAGTGGGGTGCGGGTCCCATGGCCCCTCAGGGAAGGTGGCTGTTAGAGGGAATGCCAGGCAGGGCTCTCTAAAGTTGGACATCAGGGCCAGGGCTCCTATCCCCAACCTGTCATGGAGATTGAGAGAGAAGCTGAAAGAACATTCTAAGATAGTACTTCTAAGCAGCACAGCCTGCTAAGTCATAGGTTACAGTCAGTGGTGCTTGCTAGCTCGGTGATAGCTTCCCAATCTTACCAGCCATTTCTCAAAAAGAAAAGTGAGTGATGATGGTTCCGTTCATTTGGCCTGGGTTAGGCACTCCCCCTTCTTATTTGCATGAGCAAATTATAGGGAAATCTGTTCTAGGTACAACCATTTTCTTGAGTTGTTGGTTTCTTCCATGTTGCAAATTCTTGCCCATCAGAAGAGCGGGGTGAGGCTGTTGGTCGTAATGGACAGACCTTCCATTTAGTACCTGTGAGACATGTGGACTTCATGCTGGCCTGTAATTTTTTTCTCCCAGCTTATCATGTATAGATAATTTTTAATTTCAATTGGGTCATTTTTTTCTCCTCCCTCCCCAACCTCAAAGCTACTTGTTATCTAAAAATCTGTTGTCCTCCCTGTTTTGTCAGGTCGATCTTTTAGTCACACACTGGTTGAACCAAGGAGTAGGCTATGCTTGGGCAGGTAGCCCCTTCCCTTCCCCCACTGGCACAGGGTGCTCAGCAGCAGACTGGCATCCAGAACGTGGCTCCATCCTGAGTCTCGGGTGCCGGCCCTGAGTGCCCGTGGGCTGCCGCTGCTGTTTTGCCTAAGACCTTCTCCTTGGGCAGCAGCCCCTTGAATCAGCAACAAAGGTAGAGGAAAGTAGATACCACAAATGCTTTCATTTTGAGTTTTTTTTCTATTTAAAGTAGGGGAGGGAGGAGGGCAAGGGGAGTGAAATGTCAGCCTCGCAGATGATGCGTCTCACCAAGAGTTGTCAGTGAATCAGGTCTCCCTGAAATGTGGCTTTGCAGACACGGTGGAGAGGGGCCGCTGGCTCTCTGTACGTGCCCTGTCCTCTGGGATTCTATAGGAATGAGAGTGAGTGAGGTGAGAGAAAAGCCCTCCTTGGCCATAGAATAGATGTCACGTGGCAGCTGCAGTGGAGAGCAACCCGCATTCAGCCCCCTCTTGTCAAGGTGGCTTTTGTTGTTTGGGAAAAAAGGGCATGGTCTCGCCTGGTAAAGCCAGCTGGCCAATGAAGGGGAAGAGCACTCTGTGGGACCCTGTCTCTCCAAAATGCTCTGGTGTCGAGCTCCACACACTGGGTTATTGGGGCTGTGACTTGGCCTGTTGGACACAGTGGGGGTAGAACCAAGTTCGGTCTGAGACTCAGGCTTCCTTCTGGAACCCACAGGCTCTCTCCTGAGATGAGCAGCATGTCTAAAATGAAAGAATGGCATAGAGCAAAAAACCCAATTTGAACTGTGCCAAGACATCAAGGGGGAAGAAGCCAGCATGACAGGGAGTAGTCAGTGACGGCTCCTCAAGGGCATGAGGGTGGAGAATACACGTGGCCCCAGCCTTCTCCGTCCTCAGACTGACTCCAGGAACAGTCTGCACATGTGACCCCTGGGAAAGTGTGTGACTTGTCTGGGGACAGGCTCATAGAATCAGAGGGTAGTTTCAAGCCAGGCCCAGTTGCTTTCAAGCCTGTGTTGGTGATGGCTCTGCCGACTGAGTTCAAAGGCGGCAGACTCGGGTCAGAGGGAAGAACTCAGGAAGGGGTCAGGGGTGAAGCCGTGGCCTGATGATATTGAGAAGCCATCGGAGGTGGTAGGGGACGCCAGGAAAGTGGGGCTAAGACTGGGGAGAGCGTGGGGGGTGCTGGGAGCATGTGGGGAAGTGCTGGTGGAAGAGGAGGACCTGGCATCAGAATTGGGGGGTGAGTTCAAAGGGCTCTGTAGGAATCAGAGTGGCAACTGTGCCGAGGGTGCATGTGGGAGGATGTGCAGCAGGCTGACCTGGTGGCCATGAGTAACTCCCACAAATGGCAAGTGGACGGAGGGGGTTTTGCTGTGCTTGAGGCAAGACATGTGAGTGTGCCCAGCAGGCAGCAGTGAATGGCTACCTAGGCGGACCAGCTTTGAGTCCAGAGATAAGCAGCTCATCCTCAACAGGCTAAATTAGTTTTACTGTTGGCCGAAAGAAGTAGACTTAAGCCAGAGGATAGCAGGGAATCATTTTCGAGCGTGAAACACAATAATCAACACAGTATGGGGTTTATTTAGACCAAAACAAAAAGGGGTCTCACATGAATGGGACTTTGGTGAGTATTGGTGCAATTTACATAAATTGTGTAAGATGATATTTCTAGAACTTTCATGGCCAATTTAAATGAATCACACACACAAACACCCTTACACCATTGTTTTTCCCCTTGCACCACTGTTCATTTTGGTACTTGGTTCCTCCCGTCAGGTGTTTTCCACAGTTTTCCTGTCACTGTGTGTTTTTACAAACTTTCTTGGGCTTCTCTACACTATTCTTTTGGTGAAAGATGGTTGGGGAAACAGACTTGAAATATTTGGGAGCGTTTGTGGGGTTTGCTGAGGGAACACTGGTAGTCAAATGATTTATACTAAGAGAAGACTTAAACATGTGGGAACCTTGATGAAGGTTGAGTAAAAAGTTGTGCACTGACACATTTACAAAGGCAAATAATCTTCTGGAGAGAGGTCACAGGACATAGGTAGACAGTGTTGTCTTTAAGGCACGGGTGAGCTATTTGGTGGCTGAGCCCAGACCTGCTGTGGGTTAGACAGAACCTTCCTGGTGATAATGTCCCCGTGTTCTGATGCCGTCACCCCTGCCTCAGTGGCAGAGAACTCATCGTGTGCCCAGCCAGCCCCCCTAGAGTTGGGGGCAGCTCTATTGGATCCTCGAGGAAAGCCTACTAGCTTTTACCTGTATCTGTGGCAGTCATGGTATTCTCCTCCACCTCGCAGGTGCTCAGGGCCTGAAGGGAGGCCACTCACTTTTCCCATTTCTTCCCTTGCAGTGACTCTAGAGCAGTTCTCCCTGGCAGTGAGGAGCTGTCCTGACCCAGAGGACCAGGCTTTGTTAATGAAGGTAGGTTAGCAGATAAGGTACTGATTTCCGTAAAGGCTCACAGCATTTTTATTGCCCCGAGGAGAGCTTCATTTTTACAAGCAGGAGTAAATTTATCATCTCTGAATTTTGCGCTCCTCGGGGATAAACTTGTCATCGGCGGGGAGGAGGGTTGCTGGTTAATGAGCACAGCCGCGTCCGTGGAGTGCAGCAAAGTGACAGGAGAGTGGGTGTCAACTACTGGCGGGGAATCTATTTAATTCTCCCGAGGCCTCGGTGGGTTCTATTTAAGCTTATCTGACAGAGTCTTGATTCCTTTAGCAGATTTATGAGTCTTGGCCAAATTCCACGACTCCCACCGTACTTTTTAATTAAGACGAAGGCTTCCATACGCTCTGTGTCTGCCACACCCTCACTCGCGTCCCCACGGGGAATGCTGCACAGTGGGACTTTCCGTGTTAACCATGGACTGGGCGTCTTATGTCATAGATTCCTTGTCCTTGAGTGGAAAACAAACTCTCTTTCTTGGTAACAGTTGTTTTATTTCCTTCCCACTGACAAAGGAGCTGAAGTGTGGTACAGCTTATGTTTAGGATTGAGCCAAAAGTATGGGAAAACCAGGCCAGCAGCCTGCAGGAATAACTTTGTCTTTGAAGACAGAAAGCAGTCGCTCCCAGCGAATGACAAAGGCACACATGTGCGTCCCCACCGATGGTCGAGACTCATGTTGTAACCTAGAAACTGACTGAGATGGACCTTGTCACAGAAGCATTTCCATGATGTCATTTCAGCTCTGTACCATCAGGAAACTGTACTAGGAATTGCATTTCTCTACCTAAACACCATGCCAGGTGTCCTCTGATTTTAGAAATGGGTGGAAAAAAAAACAACAGGGTGTCACTGTAAGGGATTTTCAATTCATTTGCCTAAGATGTGGTATTTTCGGTCTGTCTTTTTTAAAAACTTTCAGTGATGTTCGTTTTATAATCAAGAAGTGCTGACCCCCAGCGTTGGGTTTGCATGGGAGGCCTGGCCCAAAAGAGTCGTGGGCACATTACACTAACTTCCAGTTGTGTAGTCAGGCATGGAAGCTTTGCCTGCCATTTGTCTTCCACAGTTTGCCGTTAGCTCCCGACTTTGAGGTCAGTTCCCCAAGGACCCTCCTTCCACACACAGGCTATTTCTGAGGCCTCAAAGCAGCGACAGAACCCCAGATCTGCACCCCTTTTTCCTCGGCTATACTTTCCAAGGTGACAGGGACGCAGGCCGCCTGCTCTTTCTTCCCGCACCACCCAGCATTTTGGCCCGCTAGCTGCCGCTCCTGCTCTTTTCTTCCTTGTTTCCTGTCTTCCTCCTTTGCTGTGTTGCTGTGTGCTGTGCACGCTTCCGTGTGCTGTGTGCTGCTGCTGGGAGCCCGCAGGGACTCAGTGGCATCTCAGAGGCTGCAGGGCAGAGCATGCAGGCGCCAGCCCAGCTCCAGGGGAGCAGACCTGCAGTCTGGGGTGTGGGAGTGGACGCTCGGTGGCCCTGAGTTTCTATAGGTCTGTAGAGAGCAGGTGGAAGAGATGTCTCCCCAAATTGCCCCGCCAGTATTCTCGCCTCCTTAGGACCCTGCTTCCCTGGGCTGACTTCTCTGCAACATTTGGTTAGAGGCTAACAATTTGGGGTGGGAGAAGAAGCATCCCGGAATGTACACGGTCTCCAGCGGCTTGCAGTTTTTTTCTGTCTTCCCCGTTGGTTTCTGCAGACTGACTGTGGCAAACCAAAAACGATGTCTGTGGGTGTTTTCTCAATATTTGCAGATATTTGAACAGGCATCATCAAAGAAGTTTCACTGAACAAAAAAAATGCTCAGTTCATGTATACTGAAACCATTTTATGATTTTTTTTCAGGAGATTGAGGTTTTTAATGTCACATATCGGAGAGCACCTTGTGGGTGAGGCAGTGGCGTGCAGGATTTTTGTAGCTTGTGGGAGAACTTGCTCAGGGTGACAGCAATTCAGCCTACAATTGAGTATAGGAGGTGTTTACTTTTCAGATTATCCGCAACAAGATATTTAACACAACCACATTGGGTATAAAGGTGTTGGAGGCAAAACAAAACAACAACAACAAAACAAACAAACAAAATAAACCCCCAAATCTGGACCAAACGTGGTAGTTTATAAAAGGATATTTCAGATGCACACACTGCATCCCTACCTTGTCAGGAATCATTGAGACCTGTGAGCAAATATTTCATTCTGATTTGCGAAGGTGCTCTCTATGGGACTATAGAGAAGATGCAAAGATATGAATAGGTAGCTAAGTCAAAGTCAGGGCAGGTCAAGCGCAGAGCAGATACCCCAGGAAAAACAGAATCAGCACTCAAGAGTTTGGAGATAGCAGAGACTGAGTGTCCTCCTGGCAACCAGAAGGGGCCGAGGAGCTGAAGAGAAGCGACTCTTCATCACCACAAAGCTAGCTGGCAGGCGGTGTGAGGAACAGAAAGCAAGGTCACTCGACCGTCGGGCTAGATTTCTTCCTGGGATGTCTACCTACAGGAGCAGATTCACAGAGACATGTAGCCCCTTGCTCCCCCAGGGCCATGTGGGAGGTCAGGCTACAGGGGAAGCCCAGGCTGTTTGCTGTGGCTGGCTTGTGGAGCCTCTCACAGGGCCTGTTTGTCACACCCTGTTGGCTGAGAGGACCGCAAGACAGGCGGGAGCAGGTTTCTGTGACTCAGTTTCCTACCCACTGAGTAGAGGTCAAGGCTGTCCTTTACTTGATTTTCCGAATACTGCAATCAGGTTGTGGAAAGAGGTGCTCAGGGTAAGGTAGCTGTCATTTGGGCTTGCCTTTCAGTGAGCTTTCACTACTCTTCCAACCATTAGAAAAAGTTAGACTCTGTCAAGTACTTATTTGATCCCATTCACATTTCATCTCCATACTTCACTGCTTCTTCACCTGTTTGTTCTGCTGGCCATTTAGTGGTGACTCCCGGTCACTATTCTGTGTCCACTCACCACTCTGCTGTGGCTCCAACCTACAGCGCAGAGTGCTTGTGGCTCTGGGCCTCACCCATCTCTGTCCTCCCTCCGCAGCCTCAGAGCCATGGGGCCATCTGAGACTCTCCCCTGTGCTGGGTTCGCTCTGCTCGTCTCTTGCAGCATCTTCCAGAGTCATCCTTGTCCATCTGTCCCAGTGTAGAGCCCCTGGGCTTGATCCTCAGATGCAGGTCCTCGCCTCAATCCACCAGGATCCAAGTATGGCCCCAGGCAGTCCACTTTGATATCTTTTAGCCTAATGTCCTTTTCTGAAAAGTGAATTTGATTACTCGAAGATGGTTCCAGTATCCCTCTTCTGTGAATCTTGCTGACCTCACCAACAAGCCTACTACTCTAGACACACTTGAGAATGAACCCAGCCTTCTACTGCCTGTCCCTTGTCCTGCTTCTTTGGAAAGCTGACCTTGGAGTCCCATGTCCTACATGTCACTCTCTGGATTAGAGATTCAGCCATAACTTCCTCACTCCTTGGGAATAGGGTGATAGGGAACTTAGCCAAATCTGGACGTTTTTGTTGAGAGTGAAAGAGTGTACCATTAAAAATTAAGCTTGATGTGGTGATTTTCAGTGATGCTCATCTGAAACTTGTGTAATATGACAATGACACATCTTTTAAAAATATTTATTTTGTAGAAGAGCTGGGCTGTAGCCCAGAGGTGGAGGGTGATGAGAGGATTCACTAAAGACAGAGTGGGGAGCAGAACAGGCAGATTTACTGAAATACTGACATTGACATGTTATTTCAATTAAAAAGATTAAATAAAAATTAAGCTTGGATGACAGGCTTAAACTGTAACTGTGACAGGCAACCAAAACATCTGGTTAGCCCATTTTTGAATGAAGTCCCTCAACCAAATCGCTCTGTCTCACCTATTAGGCTTCATTCTCAGTGCTTGTCCAGACTTTCTTTTCCCCTTGCCACTCCTCAGAATTGTCTCCTCTTAAAAATCATGCCCTCTTTATGGTAATGGAAATTGGCAGTCTGCATTTGGACCATCCTTTTCTAAGTCAAATGTAAATGATCACACTTCCTCCTTCTGTTCTCTGGGGAGTTTCTTACACATCTGGCAGCAGCTGCTTCCAATATGGGTGAAAGACAGCAGGCCCAGCACTGGTACTAAAAGCCATCTGAGGCTCTCATCTTCTGGACATCTTTGCCTTCCTCAGAAAAGCTGGAAAAACGTGGAGGGAACAAGTGTTTGAGAACAAGTAACTCTTCCTGGGGAATGCTGTCCCAGTTCAGGAGACAAGAGCTGGTTGAAGGCCTAGCTGATCTGTTACAATTGGAGCAAGGTTGTAGAAGGAGGGTTGGTTCTGAGTGTGGCTTCTGCACTCTTTTGATGTTGACCAAATGTCCAGGACACTACACTCCCCCTCCTTCACCCCTCCCACTCTCCATGCAAGTTAGGTGTGGTCATTCTGCCTAAGACCTCTGGCTAGAAGGACCATGTGATGTTCGAGGCAAGCCTTTCTGTAGGTGGGGTCTGATATTACATGACCTCTACTGTAGAAAAGAGTAACAAGAGCCAGGCCCTCCCTGGTGGCACAGCGGGTTAAGATGCAACACTGCAAGCTGGCCACAGCTGCTTCAGTGCGAGTTCAATTCTCGGCCCCCGAGGTGACCACCTGGCATGGCAGACCTCTCCTGACCTGCCCGCTGCTCCCCTCTACAGTGTACTTTGTCGATCTGCCTGTTCTGTTCCCCACTCTGTCTCTGGTGGATTCTCTCACCGCCCTGCACCTCGGGCCTGTACCCTAGTTCTGTATGCACAAATAAATAAATCTTTTTCAAAAAAGAAGTATAACAAGAGTCAAGCTGAGCCAAGCTGCCTGCATGAAAATAAATAGTATGGTCTCAACTCTGGTCCCGAAGTAGCAGGCCTATGGCAGAGTGTGCACACCAGGAGCAACGGCCATGCATCAGCCCCTTCTGTGTGGAGTGCTCAGAGGGGGTGACTCCGTGGAGGTGATGA